CCGTCCGTAACCACGGTCCACCGGGCTCTACCGAAAGGTTGAGCACCGCCCTTCTAAATTACTAGGAAGTTAGAGAAGAAGTGATTTTTGAGGAAATCAAAGAGAAGAGTTATTATGAAGTTTTATAGAGAAGTTGAGGATTTTTTTTGTAAAGAAGTAGTCTTGAGAAAAATCAAAGTGAAAAGAATTTCGATGGTGTGAGTATTTTTATATATTATTATATAAAAATTCTATTTTTGTCAAACATGATTATTTTACGGGGTTGGGTAGTACTTACTTAGCTCTAAAGCTAATTTTTGTTTTCTTTTCCTTGTTTTGTTTCTGCACTTTATTTGTGCAGGTGAGGATGATGTTGTCGAGTGATGATTGCTTGCACGGCCGAGAGCGAGTTAGAAGTCGCCTTAGCTATACTAGTCATGAAATAAACATTTACTTTTCAAACACTTTACTTTTATTAAATTAGTTGTTATGTTTTTAGTTGCATGTGCACCCGGTTGAGAGATGACCGGATGTGGCGGTAACACCCATTTCCTATTTTAGACTTTCGTTGTATTTCTTCAACTCTTTGATGAATAAATAAAAGTTTTATTTCAATTATGTCAACGTTTTGGGTGGGAAATTTGGGGGTGTTACAGTTACTATGGAAGATGCAACAGCTGAAGGATTATGGCATTCAAGCAAAGGAGATCAAGTTGCTCTGTGACAACACCAGTGCCATTGTTATTACTCAAAATCCAGTACTTCATTCCAGGACAAAGCACATTGAGATCAAAGACTCATTTACCTCAACAAGAAAAGCTCAAGTTGGAAGATATACCTTCTTATCTCTCATCCAACTAGCAAGTTGCAAAGTTCCTCAGTTCTTCAACACTTCGAAAACTTCATCTACACATCTTTTGTAAAGAAGCAACGTTGGAGAAAACTGATCTTGATTCAAACACTTCTTGAAAAAGAAGGGGCGTCTCAAACTAACTGGAGTAAGTGAAGTGGTGATACTTCCAAGAGACTCAGTGAAACGAGACCAGCAATCAGGAAGCAGGACCGCATCCCGGGTGGCAACTAGGCTTGAAGAAGACGTGGAGAGCTTCTTAAGTTCTAGAGACTAAGGCGGTGTAAACTGTTGTTTTTGCAAGCTTAGTGGAACAGTGGACTAGAGGAACAAGTTGTTCCTTGAACCACTATAAAAATCCCCGGTGTCACTTACATTACTTATTTCTTTTCTGCACTTAAGAACTTGACTGCATAACTCAAAAGGTTGGACTCTGTGTTCAGCAGATCTTCCTCAAAAGTTATCAGAAAGGCATTTGCCTTAGTGTTGTTTGAGGCTACCCGGACAGAATCTAATCCGCTGCCAGGTCCAGTTCTGCCATCAGAACTTGACCTTCTCTGTCACCAGAATTCGACCATCTGTGATAAGTCAGTTGTGACTTAGAGAAAAGTTTAAATTCCTGAACAGTCTAATCACCCCCCCCCCCCTCTAGACTGTTCCCATTACAAACGGGACCAACAGATACTCATGGAAATTATTTTAAACCATAAATTATTTGGGAGCCTGCTTACTCATGTTTGCCATATGTGGCCTTTGACTTTGAAAATGTATTTGTTTTCCGCTGCGTAGTTTGAAATGCTTTGTTTATGATTGTTTATGGATGTACTTGTGTGAATGGTATTCATGTACGCCTTGCATGGTTCGTGAGAGGTAGACTGCGGTTGCCTTAATCGGATTGTGCAGCGGTTGTTAGCGTGTCCGGTCAGCCCGGGGCGTGACAGTTGACACATATGATATGCAAACCACCTATCTTTTTAGAGAGCTATTGGCAAATTGTGCTGCTTACTTAATTAAGATTGATGATGATGAACTCAAAGAAGGGGAGAACTACTATGAAGCTCCAGCAGAGCTACCCAAGGTCATAAGAGGAACAAGAACTCTTCCATCAAAGAATGAGAAGCCTTGGGAAAACATCTGAATAACTGCCCCCTTCCAAGAGGAAATCAGAAAGCATATCTGGAGAAGACATGAGAAAATCAAGCAATTGGATGAAGTGAAAGCCCGAGGTCTTACCCACCTGAAGGGAAGACAAGTCGGTGGACATCTTCATCTGATAAGACACCGCTTCATGGGCAAACAACGTGAGATCCTTAAGCATGGTCTGCAGACATGCAAGTCCCCTATCTGGAGCATTCTAAACGTGCCTGAAGGAGATCACGCATGGATAAAGCTCTACATCTACAGGCTTCAGCGCACTGGCGGAAGCGAGTTCAGCTTTCAGGAGAATGATTTCTTTCTCAAAATGGACGACATTTATCAAATGTTCATGGCCTAGAGGAATCTCCCCGTCAAAATCAGCAAAGTGATGAAAGAAGGCTATGATGCTATATAAAGGTTCAGGATAAGGCAAGTTCGAGTTCATGCATCACATGATCTTCAATTGGCCCTGGAAAATAACATCCTAAAGGCAAATCTCACCAGGCCAATACTAATGCACCTGAGCTAGAGTAGTTTCCACCTTACCATATTTTTGACAAGCTGGTCGCGATAGACTACTTGAATCACGAAGAAAAGAAGCTCCTTATGAAGATTGAAGAGAGAGCCAAATATTGTGATGGGACTTTAAATATCATCAGAGACAAGCTGCTTCCGCCGAAAGAAGAAATCGAACGAAGACTTGCTGATGCCACTGATGTTGAACTAGCAGAATTTGATAGAATCTCCAAGGTCTAGGTGCTATTGAAGAAGAACCTGATAAATGACAATCTCTTCGTCAATATGAGCATGCTCTAGCACAGAGGAAGAACTATTTCAAGAAACAGAAGTGAAGACCACCAAGATAACACTTGATCACAAATGGGGATATTGTTGAAGATTACTTATCCTGATCAAGTTGTTTTAATTTAGTCTTGTTTTATTTTACCTTTTATGGTATATCTTGTAATAAATAGAATGGGCTTTTTAAGGAATAAGGCCATTTATGTGTAAGGCCCAAATCCCAAGCCTTAACCTTTGTAGGTATGTTGTACACCCTATGCATATAAATATGTGTTTAGGAGTGGACATCGTATAGCCTTTTCGAGAAATATAGTAGCCACACTTGAGAGTTTTCGATATTATAACTTTGAGAGATTTCACATGTTCGAATATTTCAATATCATTCTAATGAAATTTCTCTCAGTTTCTACTTCGTGTTTGTGCTTCCATATTTGTTAAATTTCATCAAATAGGGACCAACAATTGGCGAGATATAGTTCTTCTCCAGTGCGAAGACATTGGAATGGGGTCAAACAAATACTTCATTACCTTCAAGGCACCAAAGACATGATACTTGTCTGATCCCCATAAAGAAAGATCACAAATGTGTTCACATGTGGAGGAACAACAGTTTCGTGGCGTTCCATGGAACAATTGCGGCAACATCATCTAATCATGTAGAGCCAGTGGCAGACCCACTAAGGGTCCCACGGGGTCCCGGGACCCCATGGACCTCCAAAAAAGATACCTGTATATTTGTATATATTTTATATAGAATTAAGAAATAAGTATTTATACAATCAAAACTGGCTAAGAACACAATTATGGAGCTAGAGCAATGGTAGGAGGCTCAATTCCAAGGCTTTGTGCGTACGGAGGTCGAACGATCGATTCCTCTAGTTGTCCATTTTTTTGAAAATAAAATCATGACCACTTTTTTGTACGTGCGCATCGATTGTTATCCTATTGCCCAATTTTTTTCATAACAAATACTACAACAAAGCCAGTATGTATCCCCGAATTTCAACTTATCTGTTTTATAAACTAATTTGGTCATGAAATACGTAATTCTTGAATTCACACACTAAATTTGTAATAATTAAAATAAGCAAGTTAAAAACATTTTTTTGGCGAGATGACTGAAGTTACCGTAAGAGCATAATCTTAGCCACTTTTTCATATGACTTTTTCATATCTTATAACATATAATTTAAATATCATTCTTTCCTAATATAGCAGATTCAGTCGCTTGAGCCATAATCGCATAATTTGGCTTGTTGTGGTTTAATCTAAGACTAAAATCGGTCCAATAACAAAGTCCTTAAAGTTAAACAAATAAATTGGTAATTGTATTAAATTAAAATAGAAACAAAGCTAATGAATATATTTTAAGTAAAAATCCAAATAAAATATTGTGAAGTAATTGGATCGAAATTTTCAAATGTAGGCTTTTTAAATTTGATTTCTCATATGCATGCCCATTATTTTTAGTTGATAGAGGACATTAACTTTATAAAATTTCAGTGCCCATTTAGTGACTCTGTTTTCGGCTTATCAACCAACTTTTTAACCAAACATGTAATTTTTGATTTTGTGCACTGAATTATGTAATAATAAGAACAATAAGGTTGAAGTTACTTTTCAGACTGTATTGACTGAAGTTGTTGTAGTTGACCATTTTATCTATGTTTTCATATCATTTCTTCTTTATTTTATTAATAAAATATATTTTAAATATAATTTTTCATAATCAGCAGAAACAGCCAATACAGCCACTTCGGTCAGAACTTCATAAATTTCAGTAGAATCAGCCGATTAAGCCGATTTCAATGTTACCAAACGGGCTCTAGTTGATAGTAGACATTTCTTTAAAATTTTGGAATATCTTTAAAATTGGTGTATACGCTAACTATGGAACATTATGCTATTTTAATATTTTACTTCTTCTTTTTATTAATTAGAGTTACATTACAGTAGAGACCCCGTGATTCTGAGTTTCTGGGTCCGCCACTTTGTAGAGCTATTAGTCATTCATGAAGCCAGTCGATAATGAGTATACCTAAGAAGTGTAATTCGATACATAAACACAAGTCTAATCAATTTTTGGATTACCAAGCTAGGTTAACGACGTAATCTGGGTGAGTAATCCGACGAAACAGAAACACAGCCGTTGAGCATGAAAAAAATTTGAAATCCAAAAGTGACGCATTAAACACTCACCCACCACACTGGTCCACAAGTCCACTCCGAACCCCGCCACCCTCCTTCTACATCACATCATATAAATGATATCAACATCATTCTTTGTATTTTTGCTTTTGGTCATTTTCCGTTTCCCAAACGCGAATTAGTTTCTCAGTCTTAAGCTGCCATCCTGAGTAGCCTTAGCTTACCCTAACTCTCTGCAATGTCTTCTTTATCTTTATTGTATGCATTCCTCTTTATGGCCATGGCTGCACCTCGCTCAAGTAAGTTCTTCTTCACCAACCTCTAATTAGTTTCTCAGTCTTAAGCTGCCATTCCGATCATTCCTCTAAATATTTAAGTGGAAAACACAATAGAACACGTCCTATAAATAATACTGAGCGATATTATTTAGTACAAGTCCCTTCAAATAGATTTGAAACATGCATGATTAAATTTGAGAATGTCACCATTATTTACTTTTTTCATCTAAACTGAAATTAGCATGCTACTACTCCTTTTAGATTTAGTTTTACTTTTCCTCGTTTGTACTATGCAAAAATCTCATTCTACTTCCGTCCCGAAATAATCGTCCTGTTTTGACCTTCACACAGATTAAGAAAGTGAAGTTGACTTTATACTGTAGCGACACTGATTGGCACTGTAGCGACACTGTTTGACACTGTAGTGACACTTTTTGGCACTGTTTTGCACTTTATGACACTGTTTTGTATAGATTTGTTTACCAAATAAGGAAAAGAAACAATTATTTCGGGACGGATCAAAAAGTAAAACAGGACAATTATTTCGGGAGGGAGGGAGTATTTATCTTAAATAAGGGTCCGTGTCCGTTCGGTTACATATTTTGATATATTTTGCTAATAGCAGAATATTCATTTCCATGAGAAATTTTATAGCACGAATATATTTTAAAGCTAGATGAAAAAGGTTTTCCTTATAAAAAATTTGTCCTACTAGATTGATAAAAGTTGGGTCACCCATTGGCTGAGAATAAATGTCTCAGGCGGGCCATTGGGTTGTGAAAGTGGGAATGAAGATATAATAATTACCCTAATCTAGCTGTAAGGGTAGTGCTTTATAAACATTTGGCTGGAATGATTAATTACAAATACTTTTGCTTTCATTTGGTCCAAAAGGTGGAATCTCCCACCCCAAGAGCCCCCCTTACCCCGATCCGACAGGATTTTTGGGAGAATGTTATTTCACGTTCTGTGACCTCCACACGGTCGCTTCAAGTTTCGAACCTTGGTCACTTGGTCCAAATTTTCCACCACTGAACCAACTGAGCTACCCGTGTGGGTAGCTTAGTAACTCAAAAGCTTACTATTGATGAAACTATGAAAGCAAAAACTTACTTTTTCTGCTTATTAAATAATTCAACGCGCGAAAGAAAAAGTTACGTGTTTTGTGAAAAAGTTGGCTGATAAGCCTGATAAGCCGATAAAAAGCGTTAGCAAACGGCCTGTTTCAAACTTAATTCTATTTTCAACCATCATTTCGATCCAAATAAAGAAATCACATGCGCATAGTAGTTTTGAATCGAAAAGTCCTTAGTATTTATTATATCTTCCTAACACATTAAAGTAGTGTTTGCTGGAGCTTTTAATTTAGAAAGCACTTTTGATTAAGAAATCTGAATTCAGTGTTTTGAAGGTTGCCCGTTTGTTTAATTTTAAGAGCTTTAATAAAATCTAAAAAAAGAGAGTAGGGGTGTGTAAAAGGTGAAACTGCTTTACATAATGTACACTATTTTACCTAACTACTTTCCTGCTTTCCTCCGTCCGTCCCGTTGGAATGTTCCTGTTTTCCTTTTTTTGATGTTCCGTTGGAAAGTTCTCATTCCCTAAATGGAAAGTTATCCTACATCAAAATAGGGTCAAACAGTACAAAACAGTGTCAAACAGTGTCGAAACAGTGCCAAACAGTGTCAAAACAGTGTCAAAACAGTAAAATTAACCTCTGGTAAGTTTATTTTCTTAATATGTGTGTAGGTCAAACCGGGAACATTCCAACGAGATGGAGGGAGTACATTTTTTTACATATATGTAGTTTTGTACGCCCTTGATTATGAGCAATTTGCTAAATTGAACTCCAATGACTTTTTATCTCACTTTATCTCTTTATTTTTCATTTCACTCTTCACTCTTCACGTTATCTTACTACTACGAATTTCTTACTTTTTAGGGTTAGAATTGTAAAACAACACATTTATTCTTCATTTTCATAAAACCCGCAACAAACCCACATATATCGTATCTTGTGGGATAGAGTAGTACTAAAGTTAGTACGAGTATGTCTTTAAAACAAGGGAAAACTGTCAATTGTGCCCTCCTACTATGCGCGATCCGTCAATGGAGTCCCCGTACTTTGGAAATCCTCAATTGAACCCGCCAACAATGAAAATCCTGTCAATTAAGTCTACATAACAGATGCTTCCCGGTTAGCCCGTTGCTCGCTCACGTGGACATCGTACATTGAGGGTTCCGTTGCTGACATGGATTAAAAATTTCCACATCAATTGATAGTTTTCCCTTTCCTTTTTCAATTTTCTTTTCTCTCTTCCTACTTTCTCTTTTTCTCTCTCTTTCTTCTTTCTTCTTGGTCCGCTACTCTTCACCTTTAATTTCCCAGTCCGCAGCTCCCCCCTTGTTCATTTCTTTCTTTCGATGCTTTTAATTTTTCTTTCCCTTTTCTATTTCTCCTGTGCATGTGCAACTCCATCTCCTCAGTTCCCTCCTGCACATACTACAGATCTATGGTGGAGGTGGTGGTGGTAGCTATGGAGGCTGGGGTGGTTGGAGGTCGTTCCAACTTCCAATAGAAAAGACGAAGGTGGAGACCATGGAAGTGGAAGCCGGATCGAGGCGGTTGGTATGGTGGTAAGGGCGGCGGAGGTGGTTGCTACGGAAGTCGGCGCGGCTGCAGTTCGTTTCAATGGAGGAGACGAAGGGACGGAGGTGGTGGTCAGAGGACGTTTGTATGGCGGAAGGGGTGGTTGAGGTGAAGGTAGAGGCCGGACTCCGGAGGCGGCGACTATGGAAGCTGGCCGGCAGAGGTAATGGCTAGAGAGGCCACGTGATGTGGAAATTTTTAATCCATGTCATCAACGGAACCCTCAATGTACGATGTTCACGTGAGCGAGCAACGGGCTAACCGGGAAGCATCCGGTTATGTAGACCTAATTGACAGGATTTTCATTGTTGGCGGGTTCAATTGAGGTTTTCCAAAGTACGGGGACTCCATTGACGGATCGCGCATAGTAGGAGGGCGCAATTGACAGTTTTCGCTTAAAACGATTATTATAGTATATAACATATTTATTCACTAATTTTCATTACTTGTAAATTTAAAGCTCGCTTGTTGACCTCCATTTTTGTACGCATGAGTCAATTTTCTTACAAAATTAGTAACTTTCTATGTTGCGCATTGAATATTGTAAAAATAAATTGTGATGTTACTTTTCTGCCTGAATTTGTACACAAATTTTTCTTTATTTTATTGAAAAAGTATATTTCAAATGTAATTTTTTCAAAATTCAGTCACTTTAATCACAATTTCGTGAATTTCAGCTGATTCAGCCGAATCCATCAATTCCATTTAAAGTAAGCATAGTATTGATATATATAGAGTCCGTTTGACAACACTGTTTTAGGCTTATCAGGCTTATCACCCAACTTTTTAACCAAACACGTAACTTTTGCTTTCGCCCGTTGAATTGTGTAATAAGCATAAAAAGTAAGGTTAGAGTTACTTTTCTAGCTGTATTGGTTGAAGTTACTGTAGATGGTCATTTTAGCTATTTTTACATATAGATTTTTTCTTTATTTTATAAATAAAATATATTTTAAAAATAATTTTTTCATAAATCAGCAGAATCAACCGATGCAGCCAATGCAGTCAGAACTTTATAAATTTCATCAGAATCCGCCAAATCAGCCGATTCCGGTGTATATTCTAAGTTTACATAGAGTAGTAATGATGTTGTTGTTGAAGATGTGGCAGGAGGTGCAACGTATTGTGTGTGCAAGGAAGGGATAAGTGAGAGTGTGTTACAGAAGACACTGGACTACGCATGTGGGAATGGAGCAGACTGCAACCCCACTCACCAGAATGGGCCATGCTTCCAGCCCAACACTGTGAGAGCTCATTGCAATTACGCGGTCAATAGCTTTTTCCAGAAGAAGGGTCAAGCTCCCGGCACTTGTGACTTCTCTGCCACTGCCTCTGCCACCGCAACTGACCCTAGTACGCCCCCTCTCCATTCTCACACTAATTAATCTCACTATTTTGGTGCATAAACATTTTGTGTACACCTATACTTTTGTCACACCTTGTTTGTTTACACAGATCTCTTATTTAAATATAGAAGTTCTTTTTATAAAGACTACTTTATTTGTGTAGACGGACATGGAAAATGTGCACACAAAACATTTTTCATTTTGTTATTGGAGGACTACTTCTCATTATATATTGTTGCTTATTATCTCTTTTTTGCGCCCTTCCTTTTAGGTACAACTACTTGTGTTTTTCCTACTAGTGCAAGGTATGACTTTTGTGCATTATTATCGTCTTCTTCTTCATCGGGTGAAGAACATAAAATGATCTACGAATCATTTGATTCATGTCATTTCATTTTATTCTACTCAAATTTAAGGGAAACTTTAACTTCTCAACCAATTTATTAGTAAGTAATTGTGTTAAGCTAAAACAACAAATTAAAAAACAAAACGGGACAAAGAAGCAGTAGTATAAAATATGGCATGAGACGTGTCTAATTATGAGACCACAACAAAGGCAAATGGGATAGACGGACAAGAACAAAGATTCAAGTCTTTAAACAATATAGGTGGAAGTGAATTTGGGTCAAGAGCCTGTTTGGTAACAACAAAATCCACTTATTTGGGATAAATTTATGAAATTTGGTTGAAGTGTCGATTGATTTTGCTAATTTATGAAAAAAGTATTTAAGATGAAGTATATTTTATTAATAACATAAAGACAAAGTTATTTTTTCTTATTACTATAATTTCAGTCAATACTGTAAAATTGTAATTCCAAACGTACTTTTTGTTATTATTATTATTATATAATTAAGCGCGAGAAATCAAATACAGCGTGTTTGATTAAAAAGATGGTTGATAAATTTGATAAGTCAAAAAACACTTAACTAGAGTAAATAGTACCTTATTGTTATGTGTAAAAACTAGAGTGCCTGTGTAACGTATATGGTGTATTTGATTGGTTTATAAATTTACAATAAAGTTGCTTAGACGAGATTCTCTGTCTCCTTTGAATTTTGTCATTTGGCTGGACTCAAATAAAGTGAAATTATTATTGGCTCAAAAGCATCCAAATCTTCTTTTAATGAAAGGGTGAGCAAATATTTAAGTAAAACGTCTCTTTCAATGCAAAGAAAAAGCCGTCCCTACACCAAAGCTTATACTCCCTCGCTCCCAAGGTTCTCACGTGATTCACGATATTTGACTAATCATAAAGTTAATTGATCTCTATCATTAATAGAATTATTTTTAGTAAATAAAATTTACATATTCAATAACTAAATTAAAACCGTTACAAAATCTGCAAAAAATAATTTACATTCCATAAACTATTGATGTATAAAGTAAAAGATGAAGAACAAAGCACGTTTACCGGAGAGTACATTATTGGTCCTTTTGGCTCTTTGTTCGGAAAGTAAATAGTACTCCGTACCTCTTTTGTGTTGGATGGTACCAACTGAGTTAAGTGAGAAATAAGAAAAGTAAAAAAATTATGAATTTAAGGTTTATGTAGAGAAGAAACAAATAAGCAAAATCATAAATTCCTTGTTTAAAATTAAAGGGGTAATAGTTTCTATATCAAAATATTAGAGCGCGAAGAAGAATTTAGAAGAACTTTGATTAACTTAGTTGGTACAAAGGTTTTGGCCCCAAACCCTTTTGGGTGCAATCCCAAGTCCCAACCACGTCGAACGATCCAAGTATCCAACCATACCGCTTAATTCTAGACAGAATTTGGGTTCTCACCTCATGTTTTGAGTGAAATTTGACTTTGCATCCCATTTTTAAAATCATTAATGTATACATTTCATTAGTCCAAAAATTGTGGAGAGGTGCAAAGTCAAATGATTTTATAGTGAATTGAGGTGCATACACTAATAATTTTGAAAATAGGGTGCAAAGTCAAATATCACTCAAAAAATGGGGTGCAAAGTCAAATTCTTCATACCAAAATAGAGTGGTTGAAAATTCTTACTCCTTAAGATTTAGTGTCCGATTCCAAAGTTTTAAGGGAAAGTTATTGAAATAAGAGTAAATAGGTGTTGGAAATTGGAATACTAATATACTGCTTCCTCCATAGTCCCTAAAATTATCCAAATTATAGAAATATAGAGAAACAAATAATACATACTCGAGGTTTGTGCTGAGAATTTTTGCCGCCATTTTTTATGTTTGACGGATAATAAAATTTACGGATCTGTGTCTGTAATTAGATTTGTTTTAATAAATAAATTTATATATTCAAAAATTACATTAAAAGTTTTATACTCCCTCCAGATCTTTTTAAACTTCACAGTTTGACTTCATATTGATTAAGAAAATAAATTTGACTTTACTGTAGAGTACACTTTTGAGACACTGTTTGACACTGTTGAGACACTGTTTCGCACTATTGAGACATTGTTTGGCACTGTTTAGCACTCATTAACACTATTTTTATGTAGATTTCTTTGCCCAATAAGGAAATAAGGAAGTGTGAAGTTTATTTTGGACCGTCCCAAAAGGGAAAGTGTGAAGTTTAAAAAGATCCGAAGGGAGTTATCACAAAAAAACTAAAATTTTATAAAAGTTGAATATATAAGGTAAAAGATTATGATAATTTCACTAATAATAGTGAACGAGTATTTATGATAATTTTGTGCAGTGGAGCGACAGCATCAACAACCAGTAGCAGCAACTCAGGTGTGATGACAAGTCCTACAGGCGATAGTTTAGGAGGCGGGATGAACAGTGGATTTGGCCCCCCTGGGGTAGGAAATAGTAACGCCGACATGAATGAAGGTGGGATTTCGCTGCTAAGGAGATCCCTTGTACCCTCCATCCCCACCATCTTATTAGCAGCACTCAGGATGGTTTAGTTAAGATGATGAATTGATGTTGAATTGGAAGGTTTTCTTGTTTTCCGTGGACAGCCAAGCCAAGCTTATTGTGTACAAACTCTAGCTTCTCCTCTCTCTCTCTCAAATGTGTTACCAACTTCTACATACATTCTTAGGGCAGAGCACGGATCGGGTTCGGGTGGGTCGGGTTCAAAAATGGTGAACCCGTTCGGGTATCAGATTGATAATTTCAAACCCTACCCTATCAAAAAATTTATCGGGTTTTTCGGGTTGAAGAAGTTCGGGTTACGGTCGGGTTGATTCGGTTTTCGGGTCCATTCGGATTTTAATTTATTATTTTTGAAATTGTGATAAATAAAATGGTACTCCCTCCGTCCCGCTAACAATGGGACAAATGAAGTGACACACAAATTAATAAAAAGTGGTTTATGTGGTTGATATTGAATTGATAAAGTAAGAATAAAGTAAAAATTATTTAGAGCCACACAAGCTTTACTGAATTGGGTATGAGACAATCTTATTGGGACAGACTGATAAGGTAAAATAGGACAATCATAGCGGGACGTAGGCTTGGATTCGGGTCGGGCCACCCGGCCCGCTACTGTGCGGGACCGGGACCGGTCCGGTTCTCGGGTCCGGGTCCGGGTCCGGGTCGGGCCTAGGCCCGGGGGGTAGGGCGGGTCCGGGCTCGGGTCTCAATTTTGGTGAACCGGCCCGGGCCAAATTGATTTTTTTTTTTCATTTTTGGGGTTCCACCCGGGTTGGGCTTGATGGGTAGGATGGGTTTGGGGGTGTTTGGGAGGGTGGGGGGTGAGGGGGGGGGGGTTGGAAAGCAAAAAAAAAAATCCAAACCGGAGGCCCGGCCCGGCCTGGCCCGGACCCGGACCGGACTCGGTGGCTACCCGGGCCGGTCCCGGGTCCACCATTCTTGAACTGCCGGCCCGCCCGGGCCTAGGCCCGACCCGGAACCTGCCCGGACCCGAGTCCACCCCTAGCGGGACGGATGTAGTAATTGGTAAAAATATCATTCAAAGTTATACTAGTATAACATTCAAAGTAATAGTTGTATAAATACGGTAATCGACATATTTGAGTATGTAAAAAAATAATATATGGTGATTGACATATTTGATATTGTGATAAATAAAATGATAATTGATCAAAATATCATTCAAAGTTATAACAATACAACATTCAAAGTTATAGTTGTACAAATACGGTAATTAGAATATTTGAACATGCATAATATAGTAATTGACATACAATAATTGAGATATTTGAACATGAATAATAATTCAAAGTAGTATATATACTACGCTAGTTCGGTTTTTCGGGCGGGTCGAGTAGCTTAGTTGGTATTCCTACCCGCTACCCGCTTAAATCTCGAGTTGCAAGAATCGGATCGGGTTTGGATATTTTGAGTTCACTAGTACAAAAAAAGCTTTTTACATCACTCTTTTTACATGTGTTATCCCAAAACCCATGTGAAATACTGGCACGGGGTCTTTTTATAATTTATATAAACTTTTTTACATCAGTTGTATATTTAACCCATGTAAATAGCGAAACGGGGTGTATTTTAAAATTTTGTTAAATATTCTACGTCGGGTTTCTTAGGAACCGATGTTAAAAATAAAAACGGGGTAAATTTTAGAATTAACGAAAATTCAGTTCACATCTGTTAACACAAGATCGATTATAACCGATCTGTATGATAGGACTACTGATATCGGTTGGGGTTATAATCAATCCATAAACCTAGCCTCAGCCGCTAGAGACAGAACAACAACATCCGACTACGACGAATTCCCGGAGAACATGGTGGATGAAACAACGGAGAAGCGAGACGCTCTATCTTCTCTAGCGTTCGACGATTTTCTCATTTGGACTGCCTGAAGCCTGTGCGGTAGAAATGCTGGCGGCGGAAGGAACAGTCCCGATGACCTCGCAGGCGAAGCTCTCTTATGCTGCGGTGGTAAGGGATCCTACCCCAAGTCATCGTTTGCACTCTCAGTCACGCTCGCTCTCCGACGCGGCTGACATCGGATCGTCCGGTTGCGTCAGCGGTTTTCCGTCCGTTTCATTTTCTGAAGACGACTTACAGGTTTTATCTCTTCCTTTCTGATTCACACTGGTCGGTACTTTTCCTTACGGTCGCCCTCCTCATCCCTCCGATTTGTAAGGCTTTTGAAAAGATAGGGTTTTCACACGCTTATTCGGTTGGTTTGCTTCACTCCAATATTGTTTTGATTAATTTCAAGTGCGATCTTGATTTTCAAAAATTTTGGGAGAAGAAATCCTGGGATTTCTTTGGTTTTGAGATGGTGGTGACCCGATGGACACCGAGTTTCATTGAAATTGATATCTCTCTTGAACTGCCCCTAAAAATATGGATAGGAAATGGTACAATAGGATTTTTTCAGAAAATTGTGTATGAAAATGTACCCCTTTTCTGCAAAAAAATGCTATCGGTTTGGCCATACTGAATGCCCCCTGTCAACTGATTGTTTTGTGCCAAACAAACAGACCCCTACTGTTGTCCCTATCACTGAAGCCCCAAACCCCCTGCTATTGATTTTTTTATGCCTATACTTCCACTGACTGCTGAGGAATCGGGTACCTCTTCTTTGGGTTATGTGGAAACTGATTTAATAGTTGACAAACTCACTGCAAAAGGCCCTTTTCATGATGGATTTAAGTCCCCTTTTAATGTTTTATCTATGAATGTTAGTGATGAACTTGTGCCTGTAGCCCCTGTTATTGCAAAATCTTTATAGGTGCAGGCAGTCCCTACTGTTATTGGTGATGCCCAAGCTAATCCCTTTGTTGGACCCATTGATGGTTTTGAGTGTGATATTTCTGAATGTGCTGTAACTGCAGTAAATGCTGAAGGCAATTTCAATGATGTTGATGCTTTTTCTAAAGAGATCTTTACTGATGCACTTGTCCCTTGTGTTCCTGTTATTGATACCAACCATCAAGTGACACAGGTTACTTGTGATGCCATTAAGCCAGGTTTCCCGGTGGTCTCAGATAACATAGAAGTTGCGGCTACCGTGTTGACTGCAGTTTACAATGATGCCCAACTGGAAGTGGGCCTTGATAAGGATGAACCCCAGGTGGCTACCCGTACTGTGGCGGTAACCGTGGGTGTTCATCGGTCTGTTACCTGTACTGATGATGTCGATGTTTCGTTTGAGGACCGAACAGGAAATGATGAGACCGTCTCTGATCCTACACTTGAGAATACAGTTACTACGATAGCCTCACAACTGTCCAGTGATGAAACTTTCTCTGAGGACAGTCGATCACTAACCCTTTTAGTTTCAGGTCATCAAACAGCTGAAGAGGAAGTAATTGACGGATTTACCCAAGTCCAACGTCGAAAAAGCAAAAACACGATCTCAAAAACACCTTCAATTGAAGCCAAAGAGGATGAACAACAATACCACGAAGCGGGAGCATGGCAAATGTGGCAGTGCGAAAATGGGCAAATGGATTGGCGTTTTTATGCTTATAGTTCTGAGAACAGAGTGTTGTTCCAAATGGAGTAGATGAACTACACTTGTAATTTCTTTAGTTTTTCTTTTCCATTATCATTGCTAATTTTTCATTCTTTTTCAATTTTAAAATGATGCAGTCTGTTGGAATGGAAGTCTGCCGGCCTACTCTCGTTTTTCTTCATAAATCTAGAAGCCAGCAAGTTCCTATCAATATTTGTGTTCCCAGCAAGGGTCCTCCCAATGCTTGTAGCTTCACTATGAAAATTCCCTTTTTCATCTGGCAGATCACATTTACTTTTCATCCTTTCTCTAAATTTTCGTCTATATCTAATAATCTCTCCCTTTAACAGCAACATAGATTCTAGGTTAAGTGGATATTTGGCATTAAGCTAAGATTAAATTCAGCTCTTTTTGTCTTCTTCAAATTTCAGCTATTTATAAATGTAAAAGTAGTTTTGTTTGGATATAAGGCTGATTTGGGGTTGATAAAAATTTGCAAAAGTGAATAAATAATGTGTATAGCTTTTATTCATGTGACTCAATATTGTCATTCAATAAAAAAGATTAAAAGGCAATGTCGTTTTAGATTTTGAAAACTAGGCTTTTGAAGACTCAGTCTATATGTGGATAAAAACATTATTCATAAAGATAAATAAAAGATTATACAATTATTAAATATCGTACAGAGGTCCGAAATATGGTTTACTCATGCTTTTGGTGTATTTTGTAGGGTTGTGATTGTTTTTGGAGCTTGTAGAATCTACTGGTGTGACCCACAGGCCAGAGCACCTCAAGTTTATTTCCAGCTTCTTTGAGGGTTAATGTGTGTAATTGTATTATAGGCTGCATTGTGCAGTTGTGTTATTACATCTGAATACGAGTGATATTGTACTCATACACTTTATCAATGAAAATGTTATCTTTTTACTTGAATGATAAAGTTTAGAAATTAAACTGGTAGTATTTTAGAAATTGTTTAGTTTAGCTGAGATTTGCAATGCATTATTGTTGTTGACTATTAAATGCAACAGTAAATATAATAGAAGTTTTAATTCAAACTGCTGCCAAATTCTAAAAACTAAAGCATTTTTTTTGTAATTCTTCTTCGATATTTTACATCGGTTGTTATTGTAACCGATGTGAATTATATTCCACATGGGTTATAAACGATGTGAAATACCTTGTGATGCGTTCAAATATGAAGTTTTTCTACATAGGTTATTTCGGATCCGATGTGGTTTCTTTCACATCGGCTATAACCGATGTGAAATATCATTCAAAACGCCATTTTGGACTGTCTTTTAGATCGAGCACAGAACGACCGATGTAGAAAGAATTTTCACATCGGTTCATTGACCGATGTGAAAAGTCTCTACTTTTCACATGTGCTGGAACCACATCGGCTGTTTGACCGATGTGAAAAAACTTTTTTGACCGATGTAGAAAGCCTTTTTTGTACTAGTGGTTGGGTTTTCCGACCCAATAAAAAAATCGAATATATCCGATTGGGCCAATCGGGTAGGGTCGGGTTTGCTCTCCCCTATACATTCTTGGAATCTTGGTTGCATTTGTGGCATATCAAGCCCACCTTCTGGAAACGAAATTTTACAAATGCATGTACTCCTCACAAATCAAATACTCCGTATATAAGCATATCAGGTTCAA